TTAAGTTTTATTATGCAAAAAAATATGTAACTAAACTCGATTGGCATTAGGAGCTACTGATTTGCAATGTGCAACTCTTGGCCTATTAGCTAAGTTGCTTAGAATGTCCTGCTAACAAAACACGAAGGTTGCAGGTTTGACACATGATACATGGTTAAAGCACTACAAACTTTAATGACTTAAAAGTATTAAGTTTATTGTACCTAAAATTATGTAACCTAATCTCGAATGACTGGATTAGGATCTACTGTTCTACAATGTGCATAAAACCTATGGCCTATTAGCTGAGTTAGTTAGAGTGTCGTGCTAATAATGCGAAGGTCGCAGGTTTGAAACTTGCATGGGCCGAATTCATTAATTCTTAATAATATGTAACGTTTATCATAGAATTCTTACCCGTGTAATTTTTAGACTGATCTAAAATAAATGGGTCGGCGGTCAGCATAATGGCCGCATATTTGGTTTGTCCTCGGTTGGAAGAGTTGTTTCTGTGAGAATGAGAACAATTAGTGGCTGCGAATGTCGTAGGAGCGGAGTCAGAAGACTAAGGGAGCATTGGAACAACTAAAGCTCAACTGCAAAATAGGGGTGAGAGCGCAATAGAAAAATAGGGGAGAGGGGTGAAGAGAGCAGTAGAAAAAGCTAAAAAATCGGTGTTGAGTGCTGAGTCCACAAAGGAACCAGTGCACTTTATCAATGTCCTTGACGGGCCTGCCAATTGCATGAAATGGGTGTTTTGTGTTAAATATTTGTTTGATGGATCGGTCGAGTGTTTCAAGACTCGTCTTATTGTCAAAGGTTATACTCAGGTTCGTGGTCTTGACTACACCGACACTTTCAGTCCGATTGTCAAAGTTACCACTGTCTGTGTTGTGTTTTCTATTGCGGTCACAAATAAATGGCCTCTTCGATAACTTGATGTCAATAATGTTTTTCTCAATGACACTCTTATTGAACATGTTCATATGGAACAACCTCCTAGGTATATTGATCCTTTATTTTCCACTCATGTCTGTCTATTAAAGAAAGCCCTCTATGGTTTAAAGCAAGCTCCTCACATCTAGTTTTAGCGTTTCTTCTCACACTTGATTTTTCTTAAAATCGCGCTAACACGTCCCTTTTTATCTTTCATCAGCAACCCAACCTTATCTATTTGCTTATTTATGTTAATGACATTATTGTTACCGGCAACAATTCTTCTCTTATTGACAGTTTTACTCGAAAGCTTCATTCTGAGTTTGCTACCAAAGATTTGGGTTCTCTCAGTTACTTTCTTGGTCTTGAAGCTTCACCCACTCCTGATGGTCTCTTTATTAGTTAGTTAAAATATGCCCGAGATATTCTTACTCGTGCTCATTTGCTCAATAGCAAACCAGTCCACACTCTCATGGTTGTTTCTCAACGCCTGACTGCTGATGGTTCTCCTTTCTCTGATCCTACTCTCTATAGATCCCTTATTAGCGCCCTTCAGTACTTGACCATTACGCGTCTAGATATTTCCTATGCTGCAATTATATCAGTCAATTCTTGCATGCCTCTACTGCAGATCATTTTTTTTGCTGTCAATCATATTTTTTGCTATGTTAAAGGAACACTCCACTTTGGTCTTATCTTTCATCCATACATTGTTCTTAGAGCGCTAGTGGCTTATTCGGATGCTGATTGGGTTGGTTGTCCTGATATTGATCGTTCTACATCCAGCTATTCTATTATCTTGGTAACAATCTCGTTTCTTAGAGTGCCAAAAAGGAATCTACTCTCATGCTCTAACAGTGAATCTGAGTATTGTGCTCTTGCCACAACTGCTGCTGAACATCTTTTGGTTATGCATCTTTTGCATGACCTCAAGGTTTCTATTTCACAGTAGCCCTTGCTCTTATGTGATAACAAAAGTGCTATTTTTTTTAGCTCTAATCATGTTTCTCATAAGCAGGACAAACATGTTGAACTAGATTATCATTTCCTTCGATAACTTGTTATCGCTCGCAAACTTGGCACAAAATATGTACCTTTCCATCTTTGTTATTGTTGGCAAACTTCGCACACAATAACTTCCATCTCCATGTTGCTGATATCTTCACAAAAAGTGTTTCTCGACCTCACTTTGAATATTTCAGATCCAAGCTTCACGTTCATTCAAATCTGACGCTAGGCTAGCGAGGGGTGTTAAGGATATTTGCCTTACCGGCTTACCATATTTGCCTTTTTTATTAAAAGAAAATATATTCTAATTATTTGTTATTCTTTCCTTTTATTGTTATTTCCATATTATTTGTAATTTACCCTAATTCTTTATTCTCTCCATCATTATAAATAGAGAACATTCACCATAATTTATGTTCGGTGGTTTTAGCAAATATTCTCAGGTTAGAGCGCCGTGCTAATAATGAGACGGTCAAATGTTTGACACTTGCATTGGTCAATTTAATTTATTCTTACTGATATAAAACTAAACTCGATTGGAGATACTGATCTGCAATGTGCATAAAACAAAGTTTGTTAGAACGTCGTGCTAACATTATTCACACTTGCATGGGTTAATTTTATTAATTCTCAATGATATCTTTAAAGATACGGATCTGCAATGTGCATAAAACCAAGTTTGTTTGATCATCGTGCTAACATTGTTCACACTTGCATGGGTCAATTTCATTAATTCTCAATGATATCTTTAAAGATACGCGGTTAAAGCACTACAAACTTTAAAATATAATGACTTAAAGTTTGAAGTTTGTTAGACCCACATCTGTCCCAGTTTGACTCAAAGGATGTTTCATTTGATCAGATCCGCATGGTGCCACGCGTCAACATAAGGAATTTCACTTCCCAGCGTGTGCCTGCGGATTTGAACCCATGACTCATCAGCGCAGCTGACCAACTTGAGCATGCCATGTAGCAGCACCAGGACGTGCGTCCTCTTCCATCAAGCGCGTCCGTATGGGTGCTTGGCATCGCGCATAGAGCGTCTTTCCTGCGAGTGGAAGTGTGTGTTGCATGTATGAAGGTTAGTTTCCTTCCTGTTCGACTTCTGTTTGCTCGATTTTTATCCCAATTCTAATCCTAATCATATTTTTATGTGAAATAGGATCTAATTGGACAAAATGAGTATTTTTGGATACATTATTTGTGTAGAAACACTAAACAAAAGTCACACATCAATCATGTTAGTCACCACATGTTATTTAAGAAGCAATACTTGTAGGGAACTAATGCATTTACCTTAGGTGGTAGCTTTCCATGATTGAATGTAGTTAATTTGATTGTTATGAGTATGAATATACTATATGAAGTATTATGAGTGTTACTTGAGTGTTGTAAGTATGCTTTACGCCTCCGCTATTTATGTATATGTTTAATTCATGCTGAAAAGAGGATGAGAATTTGAGAACTCTGCGCTCTGGGAGCTTGATGGATGTTATCACCCCATTGAGCATGTATGTTTACTTTGTATGAATTATGTATGATAATGCTAGATGATGGTTGTATGCATACTCAGTTATTTTCCATGACCCATAATATGATAAGCCTAGGGATTTGTGGTTGGAAGTGACAAGTTACTGAGTCTAGACCTAACCTTTCCCTAGGAGCCTATCAGATCACCACGGCAAACAAAGTACCTTAGGAGTGTTCTTAGGCTACAATTTATATGAACGGTATCTATAGCTTCATGGGAGGTCCAAGGGTTCCTAATTAGTTCTCACTGTTCCTAGCCGTTTTTCAGGGAAAATGTGCCCCCATGTCTTACAGACCACTAGCTCGAAAAGGAGGGGTCATGCCCCCCAATAAGGTGGTCTATCATGGGCCTAGGAGGTACTCAACACACCCCCTGGTAAGATACCATATAGTCTCAGATGCCATGCATTAACGCCTCATAGAAAGACACTGGTCATTAAAGCTCGGCATAAGGAACTTTTAGGGTTTAAATGAAAGGATGGAGAACCAAAGAAGCCCCAAGGGCCAAATAAGGTGGTCTATCATGGGCCTAAGAGGTACTCAGCACACCCCCTGGTAAGATACCATATAGTCTCAGAATGCCATGCAAATGTAGCGCCTCATAGAAAGACACTGGTCATTAAAGCTCGGCATAAGCAACTTTTAGGGTTTAAATGAAAGGAAGGAGAACCAAAGAAGCCCCAAGGGCCTAATAAGGTGGTCTATCATGGGCCTAGGAGGTACTCGCACACCCCCTGGTAAGATACCATATAGTCTCAGAATGCCATGCAAATGTAGCGCCTCATAGAAAGACACTGGTCATTAAAGCTCGGCATAAGGAACTTTTAGGGTTGAAATGAAAGGATGGAGAACCAAAGAAGTCCCAAGGGCCTAATACTAGAACCAAATGTCTTATAGCCAAAGAGAAGTCCATGGAAATCTGTTAAGCTTAGGATGCGATGAGAGCCTACGAATAGGTGGCTTACTGAGTATAATTTTTATACTCATCCTAGTTTTCCTATTTTTTTCAAGTGTTCGCAGGTTGCCGATCAAGATTGAGGAGCGTTCGAGAGATGTGCGGTCATAAAGTTGATCTTTCAGGAGTGTCAGTTCCTTTTCAGTCATTTTGGAGTCGTGAAAGATTTGATCTAAGATTTTGAATGGTTCGATAAAGCATGAGCTTAGCTTTCCTTTACATCCGAAACTTAGGACGCCTTTTACAAAGTCGCCTTCAAGAATACCATGTCCCCTAAACTCATATGCCTCATGTCAGTGTAACTCTTTTATCTATTCTGAGCCATGCACATTATTGTTCTAATCTTTTTCATGGCCTCACTGGTAGCTTGAACTATCTCTTGTCCTGAAAACTCCTATTCACCTACCTCGTCTCAACACACTCAGGTTCTTGTGGTCAATGTAGATATGATAATTCTCTCCATACAAGTAGCCTCCAGATTTTAAGTACAAGCACTACCATAGTTAACTCCAAGTCATGGGAGGGGTAGTTCTGCTGTAGTCCTTCAACTGAAGGGAAGCACAAGCGATCACCTTCTCGTTTGCATCACTACACATCCTAGTCCTTTTTTACTGGTGTCACTAAAAATCACATATCCTCCTGAGCTCTCTAGAACTGTGAGCACTAGGGTCGACACTGACCTCTATTTCAGATCTTGGAAGCTAGCCTTACATGCTTCATTTCATATAAACGAAACACCCTTCCTAGTCAAGTGCGTGAGCGATGAGGCTATCTTGGCAAAATCTCGTACGATTCGCTGATGTACCCTACCAGTCCCAAGAAATTGTGTACCTTAGTATTTGCAGTCCGACGAACCCACTTGGTGACAACTTCCACCTTTGTTGGGTCCATTGAAACCCCATCCTTCGACACCATGTGCCCTAAGAATGAGCCTACCATAGTCAAAATTCTCACTCGGAGAACTTGGTATACAACTTATTTTCCCACAAGATCACCAGGACTTTTCAGAGATGTACCTTGTGTTCTTAATCCATTTTTATATACACTAGGATGTTGTCTACGAACACGATGACAAATGTGTTGAATCACTCCTTGAATATTAGATTCATTGACTCCATGTATACGCATAGGCATTGGTGAGTCCAAACGACATAACAAAAAACTCATAGTGGTCATACCTCATTCTAAATGTTGTCTTCAACACATCTTCTTCTCTATCTTAATCTGGTGGTAGCTTGATCAGAGATCTATTTATGGAAAACACTGTCACCTAGGTCATCGAATGAAAAAATCAGTCTCAACCGTAAACGACATTATAAAGTGAGTGATTTTCTTCATTTTTCGATCTTATGCAATACTCATTGCATAGGACGCCCCCAATCACATGTCTCGACATGTACAATTTAGTGATCACATTGTTTATATCATATACAAAAGAAGGTTGCTTCCATAGTTTCCCCAAGATAAGGTACTCAACCTTATCCATGTACTCTAAATTATTTTGACTATATACTTGAACTTGATCCACTCTTATGTCTCTACATATAGTTCAAGTAATCATACTATAGCCAGAGTATTCTTAGTTTATTGGATTTAGATTAATGATCGTAAAATTCACTTTATTCAATAACAATCTTTACTGAATAAACATCAATAATAACTTTATAGAATATGTTTTTGTTTACCAACTATAAGTTTTAGGACATAAAACCCAACAGGAACTGGATTGCTTTCCTGAAAAATGGATTATGAAATCTTGTGTGTTAACAAATAATATGTTTTCAGAGGTCGTTGTAGTGGTACAGTGGTGAGTATTTCCGCTTGTTACTCAAGTTATTATGTTCCTGAGGTCGTTGTAGTACAAGGGTGAGCATTCCTACTTGTCACTCGAGTGACCTGAGTTTGATCCCGAACAATAACAAGTTTAATTTTGTTTTGACAATTTTAATCGGATTCAAAATTGGATTACTTTTTGTAACGGCTATTGATAAAATCTGGTGTGTTAATATTATATTTTTCGAAAGTCATCGTTGTAGAGTGGTGAGTATTCCCGCGAGTTTGATCCCCCGCAGCGACGATTTTTAATTTTCTTTTGGATAGTTTTAATTGAATTCGAAATTCGGTAATGGTGAACCAGATGATTTTGGTTTGTTCCCCAACAACGAAATTCGAAATTGGATTCCTTTTTCTCTTGTGTGTTCACAAATAAAATATTTTTCAGAGGTCGATGTAATATAGTAGTGAGTATTCCCGCTTGTCACTCGAGAGACCTAAGTTTGAACCCCGACAATAATAAATTTAATTTTCTTTTAACAATTTTCACCGGATTTGAAATTGGATTACTTGTTCCAAATCTTCGATGGATAAAATGAGTGTTAAAAATGGATCACTTTTTCTAAAGAGAATTGGTAAAATTTGGAGTGTTAACAAATAATTTATTTTTTATGAGTCATTGTAGTATAGTGGTGAGTATTCTTGCCTGTCACGCAGGTATCCCCATCAACGATGATTTTAATTCTAAAAACAATTGGTAAAATTTGGAGTGTTAACAAATAATTTATTTTTGATGAGTCGTTGTAGTATAGTGGTGAGTATTCTTGCCTGTCACGCAGGTATCCCTATCAACGACGATTTTAGTTGTTTTATTTTGGTAGTTTTAACGAAATTTAAAATTGGACAGCGGTGAAGCTGGGTTCGATCCCCAACAACGGCGATTTTAATTTTATTTTGGTAGTTTTAACGGAACTCGAAATTGGTCAGCGGTGAACCTGTCATGCCGGTAGTTTGGTTTCGATCTCCAACAACGATAGTTTGACGAAAGTCGGAACTGGATTGCTTTTCCTACAAAATGGTTTATGAAATTTTGTGTGTTAACAAATAATATGTTTTCAGAGGTCGTTGTAGTGGTACAGTGGTGAGTATTTCTGCTTGTCACTTGAGTTATTACGTTCCAGAGGTTGTTGTAGTACAAGGACGAACATTTCTGCTTGTCATTCGAGTGACCTGAGTTTGATCCCAAACAATAACAAGTTTAATCTTGTTTTGACAATTTTAATCGAATTCAAAATTGGATTACTTTTTGTAACGGCGATTGATAAAATCTGGTGTGTTAACAAATATTATATTTTTCGAAAGTCGTCGTTGTAGAGTGGTGAGTATTCCCGCAAGTTTGATCCCCCGTAGCGATGATTTTTAATTTTCTTTTGAATAGTTTTAATTGAATTCGTAATTCGGTAGTGGTGAACTGGATGATTTGGGTTTGTTCCCCAACAACGAAATTCAGAATTGGATTCCTATTTCTCTCGTGCATTAACAAATAATATATTTTTCAGAGGTCGATGTAATACAGTAGTGAGTATTCCCGCTTGTCACTCGAGAGACCTGAGTTTGAACCCCGACAATAAAAGTTTAATTTTCTTTTGACAATTTCCACCGGATTTGAAATTGGATTACTTTTTCCGAATCTTCGATGGATAAAATCTAGAGTGTTAACAATGGATCACTTTTTCTAAAGTCAATTGGTAAAATCTGGAGTGTTAACAAATAATTTATTTTTTATGAGTTGTTGTAGTATAGTGGTGAGTATTTCTACCTGTCACACAAGTGACTCGGGTTTGATCCCCAACAACGGTAACGGAATCCAAAATTTGACAACGGTAGTTTGACGAAAGTCGGAACTGGATTTCTTTTCCTAAAAATGGTTTATGAAATCTTGTGTGTCAACAAATAATATGTTTTCAAAGGTCGTTGTAGTGGTACATTGGTGAGTATTTCCGCTTGTCACTCGAGTTATTATGTTCCAGAGGTCATTGTAGTACAAGGGTGAGCATTCCTGCTTGTCACTCGAGTGACCTGAGTTTGATCCCCAACAATAACAAGTTTAATTTTGTTTTGACAATTTTATTCGATTCAAAATTGGATTACTTTTTCTAACGGTGATTGTTTTGACAAGTTTACTAAGTTCCTTTCATTTGACTATATCTCGCCCATCACAATACAAACCTTACTAAATATAAACATGTTTTGAATCATTATTATATCATATAGCATTTACATTTCATGCCTAATAAATCATGATATAATATGAGAACATTTATTATCTTTTGTAGAGCATATCTGACGATAACAAAACGTCTCTAGCAAGACCATAGAAACATTCGAGACCTACATTTTAGACTAGTCGACAAAATTTATAAGCCTAGAGCTCTCATACCAACTTTAAGAACCCTATTTTCCATAATCCTATTTTTCCTAATAAAACAAAGACTCCACTACTAGTTTAGTAGATTACTACACTACAAGTTCCCCTTCACAATACAAACCTTACTAAATCTAAATAGCATTAATACATCAATTAACTTTCATATTGAGTGCAAGGTAAATCATATCATAACAAAACACCATCATTTATTATCTTTTGTAAGACATAGCTAACGATGAAAGTATGTCCGCTGAAGAACAATGGAAATATGTTAGGCCTACATCGTAGACCGGTCTACACTTTCTAAAAACCTAGGGATCTGAAACTAATGATAATGCCCATAATTTTTTTGCCTAAATTAGAGACGTCACTACATGAATGTCTTATTTAACAGATGCGGAAATTTGAAATAAAATATTTACAATTGAAGTCATGGACTTACCCAATTAATTTAAAACAAGAAAATTAAAAATAACGTAGTAGTTAAGGATAGTCGACCGTTTATTAGAAGTATATTTAACTTGTATTACCGCTTACTATATTTGCCCTTTTATTAAAGGCAAATAATAAAAGGGAAAATATATTATATTCATTTATTATTCTTTCTTCTGATTTTTTTTTCATATTATTTGTAATTTACAACTTTCACCACCATTTAGATGTGATGGTTTCAGCAAACGTTTTCATGGTATCAGAGCCCTTTTGGTTTAACAACACTTATCCTTTCTTCTCTATGACTTCCGAATCCTCTTATCATCTTCTTCCTTTCAACACTCTAATCCATATGATTACCATTAAACTTTCTTCCTCCAATTATTTTCTTTGGAAAGCCAACTTCACCCTCTCCTTGAGTGTCAAGACATGATAGGCTATGTTGATGGAACTATGGTTCCACCACCTTGCTTTGAACCAGAAATCTCCTCAACACTCAACCCAAATATGTGACGTGGAGAGCATCCGATCAACGACTTCTTTGTCTCCTACTCTCCTCTCTCACCGAGGAAGCCATTGTTGTCGTTGTTGGTCTCTCCAATGCACATGATGTTTGGCTTGCGTTGGAAATTACGTTCAACCATCATTTGAAAGTTCGTGAACTGAGACTCAAGGATTACTTGTAGTTGATGAAACGTTGCACCAAACCTGTAGCTGAGTATGCCCGTGCCTTCAAAACAATTTGTGACCAACTTCATGCCATTGGCAGGCCCGTCAAGGACATTGATAAAGTGCACTGGTTCCTTCGTGGACTCGGCACCGAGTTTTCAGCTTTTTGTATTGCTCAGATGGCTCTTACCCCTATCCCCTCTTTTTGCAGATTTAGTCTCTAAAGCTGAAAGTTTTGAGCTATTTCAGCGCTCCTTTGAGTTCTCTGACTCCACTCCTACAACATTCACAGCCACTAATCGTGGTCGCACCCATGGAAGCCACCCTGCTTCCTCTAGCAACCATCAAGGTTGTTCTTATTTCCACAAAAAAAACTTTTTCAATCGAGGATGAACCCATTCAGGTCAGGTTCGTCGACAACCTCACTGTCAAATATCCCGCAAAGAGGGCCATTATGCTGACCGCTGCAACCAACGGTATGTTTGACCCGATTTTACTCATTCTCACCATGCTAAAGCCTTCAACATGTCCTATTCTATTGCTAGACCCAATGTTGCTGATTGGTTTCTGGATACTGGGGCTTTGGTCCATATGACTGCTGACCCATCTATTTTGGATCAGTCTAAAAATTACATGGGTAAGAACTCTGTGATCGTAGGAGACGGTGCATCCCTACCCATTACCCACACTGGGACTCTTTCTCCTATTTTA